CTTTGCAGAGGTAATTAAATTAAGGGTCTTAAGACGAGGCCATCCACTGTGGCACAGTAGGCTAAGCCTCTGCCTGTGGCACTGACATCCCATATGGGCGCTGGTTCGTGTCCCAGCTGCTCCTCTTCCCGTCCAGCTTTCTGCTGATAGCCTGAGGGAGCAGTGGAGGATGGCCCAAGTGCTTGGGCCCCTGCACCCACATGGGAGACCCAGATGAAGCTCCTGGCTCCTGGCTTTGGATCTGCCCAGCTCTGGTCGTTGAGGCTATTCAGGGAGTGAACAAGCAGATGGAAGATCGAAGATCTTTCTGTCTCTTCATCTCCTTCTCTCTCTTTAGCTCTGGCTCTCAAATAAATAAATATCTTTAAAAAATACAAAGCCAGCACCCTGGATTATTCAGGTAGACCCTAAGTTTGCTTATGAGAGACAGGAGAGGAGGGGACGCAGATTTGAGCGGGGGTGTGCTGCGTGAGGGTGAGGCGCACCCAGCGCCACCAGCTCTGGAAAAGACAGGGTTCTTCCCTGGAGCCTGCAGGGCCAGCAGACCCTGCTGCCACCTTCATTCCAGACTTTTGGCCTTGAGGATGGTGAAGAATAGACTTCTAGGGGCCGGTGTTGGGGGGTGGCTGGTAAAGCTGCAGCCTGCAACAATGTCATCCCATACCAGTGCTGATTCGAGTCCCAGCTGCTCCACTTCTGATCCAGCTCCTTGCTAATGCACCTGGGAAAGCAGTGGAAGATGGCCCCAGTGCTTGGGCCTCTGCACTCATGTGGGAGACCTGGAAGAATCTCCTGGTTCCTGGCTCCTGGCTTTGGCCTGGCCCAGCCCTGTCTGTTGTGGCCATCAGAGAAGTGAGCCAACAGATGGAAAATCTCTCTCTCTCTCTCTCTCTTTCTCTCTCTCTCACACACACACACCCTCCCCTGCCCATAACCCTAATTTTCAAATAAATAATTTAATTTAAAAAAAGAATGGATTTCTGTTGCTTGGTAGTTTGGGATGGCCACCCTAGGAAGCTAAGACAGTTATCTATTGCTACAGAACATATCAGCGCAAATTTCCCCATCTAAAATGCTACCCATTCAGGATCCTCGAGTTTTGTTAACTCAGAAAGCCAGACACAGCATAGCTGGACTGACTTCCCAGCTTCCCCTGAGGCAGAAATCAAGGAGTCTGCCAGCTGCTTCGTCATCTGCAGCCTGGGGCCAAACCCAGGTGGCGGTAGCAGAATTCAGCTCCTTGTGATGTGGGGCTGAGGTCCCTGATTCCCTGCTGGTTGTCAGGAGGGGCCGCTCTCAGCTCCTTGAGGCCATGTGCATTCCCTGCCACATTGTCCCCTCCACCTTCACAGCCAGCAGTGAGAAAGCAGCCTGAGATCAAATCTCTCTCACACGCGCTGCCTCTCGCGTACCCTGCCTTTGACCTCTGTACCCAATGTAAAGACCTCATGGCATGGGCCAATCCCACCCACATCCTCTCTCTCCCTTGTTCAGAGTTATCTGTGCCTTATAATAAAACCTCATCATAAGATTAAAATCCATCACCTTCACAGCCCTGGGAATCCTGCTGGCCATGCTCAACAGGGGCAGGAACTTAGGGGCCCTCTTAGAAGTCTGCCTACAGAAAGGTATCAAGGTCAAGTGTGGGGCCAGCATTGTGATGGAGAGGGTGAAGTTGCTGCTTCTGATGCTGCCATCCCATAACCAAGTGTTTGTTCAAGTCCCCACTGCTCTGCTTCCAAACCAGCTTCCTGCTAATATGCCTGGGAAAGCAACAGAAGACAGGCCAAGTGTTTGTGTCCCTACCACCCGTGTGAGAGACCAGGATGAAGTTCCTGGCTCCTGACTTCAGCCTGGCCCAGACATCGCTGTTACAGCCACTGGGGGGAACAAAGCAGCAAATGAAAGATCTTTCTCTGCCCCCTCTCCTTCCCCTCTCTACTTCTCTGCCCTTCAAAAAAAGAAACACACCATAAGTAAAAGGGTCAAATTGTGAAATTGTCTTATGCATAATAACACTGAGCAAAAGTGAAAGGGCACTCCTTTTTTTAAATCCACACTCACTCTAAACCAGAAAAAAAGAAAAATGTCCGGGCTTGATCTCTATTCAGCGGGAGAGACAGCACAACTGGAAGGAAGGCCAAGGAAAGTGTCTGGAGGAGACTAAGGCGCTCTGGAGTGATAGCCAAAATCATGCCAGGTACTGGTCTGACTCTATCGACTCTATCAGTCTTCACAGCAACTCTGCTAGGCGCTCCCTTAGTCCATGCCAGCTGCTGTAGCAAAATACCTTAGGCTGGGTAAGTTATCAACAGCAGAAAAGCTTCACTCAACGTCCTGGAGGCTGGGAAGTCCCGGATCAAGGTACCCTGAAGATCCTGCGCCAGCTGAGGGCCCTTTCCCCCTTGATGTGCCTTCTGTGCACCTCTCAAGGCAGAAGCTCCCTCAGGATTCGTTTATGAGGGTGCTAATCCCATTCAAGACAGCACAGCCCCATGACTTCATCACCCACTTAAAAGTCTCACTACTTAATAGCATCATCTTGGGGATTAAGCTTCCATATATGAGTTTTGTGGGGACATAAATGTTCAGATCATAGAAAGTGCTATGTGTACCCCAGTGTACACATAAGACAACTGAGAGAGAGAGAGAGAGAGAGAGAGAGAGAGAGAGAGAGGAATGGAAGGAAATTAACCAGAGCAGCACACACCTAATAAGCGAGGGGTCTTCTAACGCCAGTGCAACTCCAGAGCCTGTCGTCTTAATTGCTATGCTGCACCTGCCTCTTGCAGAGGGGAAAATGAGCTATGAATCAAGCGGGAAGTGTTGGGTTGACATATAACTAGCAGGCAGAGGAGTGTAGAGGACAAAGTGATGGATGGGAGGTGGTAGGGGCTGGAGAACACTCCTGGTGAGATTTGCAACCTCCCATAGGCAGAAAGGCCTGATGGTGACGAAACACACTCTTGGACAGAGGGGAAACCTGGTTCAGCCTGTCTGGAATGAAAAATTTCTTGTAACTACTGGCAATCAGCTCTGTGGCCAGATGAATTGTCCAAAAGCAAAGCTGGATTAAGTCAGCTACGGTTCTTAGTCACAAAAACATTTGGGAATCGTGCACATAATGATTGTGTTGAGAAACAATAGCTCCAGCTTCCCAGTGGCTTTAAACAACAATCCAGCCCTCGAAGTGTTAGCATCCTGCGGCAGACTGTATTTCACAAAACTGATCACAACCACACAGCCCCTCACACATGCTTTGGGACTTGGGTTGCAACAGAGGAGCCTCGCTCCGTGACCACTTCACCAGGAGAAAGCGGCCGCTCTCAGCCGTGATCTCCTGGGCTGCTTGTTTGGGAAGTGCAGTCTCCTTGCAGCAAGGAGACCCAATCTGCCCCGTGCAGGGGCTTGGGTAGCCAGGGAGCACCATCAGTGGTATGGGAAGGAGCCACCCGAGGTGGATTCTCCAGCCCCGTTTGATGCCACGTGTCACAGAGGTGGACTAGCCCCGCTGAGACCTCACATCCCATGTAGGAGTAACATGAACAAGTATTGCTTGAAGCCACCAAGTTTCAGGGTGCATTGGTACACAGCCATAGATAACCACAATAGGTTTTTGTACCTGGAAGTCAGGTGCTAGCTTAATACAATCCTAAAATGTACGACATTGGCTTGGAGACAGGCGGCCTAAAGGGCTTCATATTGGTACCTTTGCCATTGCTATAATGAAATACCTGAGACTGAGCACTTTGTAAAGAGTTGTATTTAGGTCACGGTTTTGGGGCTGAAATTCCAAACAGCATGGCGCCAGCTCCTCTGAGGGTCACGCTGACCACATCACAGCTTGGAGGAGAGCACGTGCCAGGAGAGATTACCTGGCGAGACAGGAAGCCAGAGAGCAATTCAGGCATCAGCTCCTCTCCCAAGAACTCACTCCAGGTCCCAGGAGACCTACTCTAGCCCCTTCCAAGGGCATGGACCCAGTGACCTAATCAAATCCCAGCAGGCTACACCTTTTACAGGTACCACCACCTCGCAACATCACCACACGGAGGGCCGGACTTCCAGCACTTGAACCCCTGGGGGAGATGCTCAAACCATATCCAAAACGTAGCAGGCCTCAAAGAGAGTGTCAGGGGAATCCTGAGAAACCTGTCGGTGACGGCATCAGGGAAGTTACGGAAAAGTCCTAGGAATGTTCTTAACATGAACGGGAGCTTGGCAACCTTGTAGTCTGCAGCCACGCGGAAAACGGGACGGGGTCTCATGAGCCGGATGACCCAGATAGGGAGGTTTCTAGGTTTCTAGGTCTGAACGTGCCCCCTTGGCAGCTATGAAGAAATGCAGGAGAGAAATGCACTCAAGAAGCCGGGGCTCGCCAGATTCCAACCTCACACTGCTTTTCACTCCCAGGTTCCTCCAGAGAGCTGGCAGTTGCCTTAATTGATAGGCATTCCAGCCAAGTACAAATCCAAGACAGGACTAGAAGATCTAAGGTGGTGCCTCTTACAAGCTCCCAGATGACGATCCTCTGATCCTAAGCTGCTCCAGCTGATGCCCTGGGACACAGACCTGCTCTGCCTCCGCCGAGCGCCGCCGGATCATCCATTCGTGAGCAGAGGTGGTGACTGTGTCCTTTGAGCCGCTGGATCTGGGATGGTTGGTTGTGCAGCAGCCCATCACTGGACCACAGAAGACCCACGGGGTTTCCCTTCTCCATCCAGTTCCCACAAACACAATGATCCCTAGACTCCAGAGCCCGGGCCTGGCCCACAGAGCCTCACCCAGTGGACAAGGTCTGGTCGGCATCTGGGACGGGAAGTGTTCACTCATTCTGTGGCTCTTCTGAATCCCAGATCACAGACTTTGGACAGAGAGCCACGGTCAGGATTGTCTCCAGGGCTTCCCTTTATGAGAAACACAGTGAAATTGTCTGTAGGTCAAATAGGCAGGGATATAAATAATCACACTAGACCCTTTCATTTATTTTATCTATTTATTTAATTTATTTGAAAGCAGAGAGAGACAGACACAGACTTCTTCTATCCACTGGTTCACTCCTCAAATGCCTGCTGCAGCCAGGGCTGGGCCAGGCTGAAGTCGGGAGCCAGGAGCTCAGTCTGGGTCTCCCACGTGGGTACTCGGGCCATCACCTGCTGCCTTCCAGGGTGCGCATCAGCAGGAATCTGGACTGGAGAGGGGAGCCAGGACTCGAACCCAGGGACTCTGATATGGGAGGCAGGCATCCCAGGCAGAATCTTCACCACTAGGTCAAACACCAGCCCTCCACAGGTCCTTAGGCCATCCACTGAGGCTTGTGCTGGGCTGTGAGAAGCCAGAGCAGAGAGCAAGGAAGGCCTGAGGGCATGAGAATAGGGTGGCCGATGCTAGAGACACACAGGCGAGTGGGGCCGAGACGCTTCCCCAGGTGAGCCAGGACTCAGTCCCTGCAGAAAACTCCTCCCTCCCCTAGAGCCAAGCTGAGACAGTCGTAGGGACCCATCACCATTTCTTCCAGGCTGTGCCTCTGGGCTCTTGTTCTTTAGACACAGCAGGCATTTCCCCATCTCGCCTGGCCAACCCCCACTCCTCCCGTGGAGTTCTGGTAATCTCCAAGACTCTGTTCGTTTGGTCCTTATCCTGGGAGGTGTGTGTAATCCTTCCTCCCTCACTTTAAGAAAATCCAGGGACAGGTAGATTAAGGCTCATTGTGAAAGTCACATAGAAACCTGCCATTTGAAGAAAATTAGTGATACACAGAAATGGTGTAGCAGAAATAAGATATAAAAAATCCACTGTGTTAAGGGGCTTCTGTGGTGCCTATGACACTGTACTTGTTTTTAAAACATAAAGCAAGTGTGACAAAATACGCAGATTTTACAGAGTTAGGTAATAGACCAATATCTGTCTCAGTTACTCTGTTCCTTTCATGACGCATAAAAATCTTCATAAAAATCGTCATCACTGTTAATGTTTTTCTAAAACAATGTATTTTAATAAGCCCTTAGGAATGAGATCTAATATAAATTATATTCAAACATCATAGTGTAGACAACAAAAGTGGTTTCTTGGTGTCTGGTACACTGACAAGAAATCTCAGGAAATCAGAACATAAAAATACGTAAGCTTTGCCCTCCTGCCCCCGTGTGAGCATGATATTTTCACTTCTGGGCCTGGTTCACATGGAGAAAACATTTTTCATGAACCCCATCACAGCCTGTATTCCAACTGGAATTCTACTGTTTGCACAGACCTCTGTCATTAACATTTTTGGTCTGAAGATTATGATCTGAATAATCTTTGTAATTATTATTTTAATGGCTAGAGAAAACTGTAACTCAGTAAGTGGTTCGCCTATTACAACCCACTTCAATCACTCCCAGGTTTTTGCTCTTATGGGAACACTTCCATAAATATCCTTATGAATATAATTTTTTATTTCTTTTGAAACATATGTCTTTATATAGCATATGAGGCATATACAATCACACTATTCCCCAATTAATATTATACCGATTTATAATGTGCGTGTATGTTTTACCTCACTCCACACATACTTAATATTTTCCACTGATGCATTGTTTAAGCAGAGGTTTGCCCCCAGATAGTAGACATTTGGACGATGTGGTTACAACAGACGTTCAGGAGGCCAATTACCTGCGAGTGAAGGAGGGAATTTCATAGTCTGCACACAAACGCTGAAGGAAAATCGATATTTTTGCTCCTTCTGCCAGCCTGGGTTCTCTAGTTGTCCGAATGAAAGATACACCCAGCGCTTTCTCGGGATGGTGCAGTTAATGCTATCTTCCGGCTCCTGGTGGGGAGTGAGCCGTGCACCTGGAAGACATGGGCGAGAGGAATGAGAGGAGAAAGTCGTGAGCCGAGAAGGGCGGGAGCCTTGGGGACAGTCCCCATCACCATCGTGTGAGTCTGCACCCTGCTCCCAGAGAATCTGCAGCGACCTCTTTGTCCGTCCTTCTAAAGGTTAACAAGAGTGAGGCAGCCTCCGGCAGGCAGACCATCTGCAAACACGTCCTTTCTGGTTCTGAAGGAAGTTCAAGGCTGTTATTCTTGCTTGTGCCATCAAAAAGTCACAGAGTCTTCTGAAATAATTCACTCTTTGTATGCACTGGGCTGTTAGCAACCTGAACCTGGTTTTTGAAAAAGTAACCAGAAAACTCCCAGCTGCCCTAAACTTCTCCGACTCAAGGTCTCCAAGAGGGAATTGGATATGGAAGTCCTTAGATTGCAGCGTTGGACGAGGACCCTGGAGGTCTGCCTCAAGCTTCCAGCACGCGGCTGCAGGCTGGCCGACGGACAGGGGCAGCTGGAGAAGGATGTGTCTGGGGGCCAAGAGCACCTGCCTAAGAGCTCAGAGTCCGCTATCAAGTGACTACGGGGGCCCCAGCTTGATTGTGACGGGAAATGACCTCCCTGCTGTGGGCTGCAGCGTCTGCATCCGTAAAGACCGCAAATGCTGCCCTGCCTTCCCAGGCTACTGGGGGGCTCAGGGTGACATAACTCGGAAAGTGTTTTGCTGACCACAAAGAGATGCTCATTTAACAGGGACCCTGATGGCGATGCTGCCAGATTCGTACAGAAAGCCGAAGTATTAACATCTTTCGTCAGGTAGAACGAAAAATGACTGTGGGAAGAAAACAGTATTTTTTTTACAAAGATTTTTTTGTTGTTGTTTGTTTTAAAGGCAGAATAACAAGGGGGGAGAGAGAGGGGAATCTTCCAACTGTTGATTCAGTCCCCAAATGGCAGCAATGGTCACAGCTGGGCCAGGCTGAAGCCAGGATCCAGCAGCTTCACCCTGCTCACACCTCTATCAGGCAGAGGCCCAAACACTTGGGTCATCATCCACTGCCTTGCCAGGTACCTTAGCAGAAAGCTGGATTGGAAGTAAAACAAACTGGCTCAAACCAGAATTCTGATGTGGGGTATCAATGTTGCAAAAGGCAGCTTCACCCGCTGCACCCAACTTTTGGCCCCATTTTTAACAAGACATACCCACTGGAAAAACTCGTTAGAGTGTGATCTTGAACTACATCGTCTCCCAGACACATCCCAGTTTGGCGTTCACTAACTCAGAGAGCTTTGGGGCTGCCCCAGAAGCGAGGGCAGGGCTGCCGCTGCACTTACAGTCACAACTGCTCTTCACGGCAGAGTCCATGGTTAGAAAACCACCAAGTCGGCATTCTTATACCACCATGTGTTAAGACTAAGAGGGGTCACTTTTATTCCTTTCTGCTGGCTGCCACCCCACCACTGCCTGAAGTGGAGACTGAGGTTTAGCAGTGGTTCTGGGAGAATCAAGGAAAAGGTAGCCCAGCGTTGACCCAGGGCCAGAGGAGGATCCGGAGAAGACATACAGCCTGGGTTCCAAACAGCTGCAATTCAATCTGACAAGTATCTACTGAGGTCCCTGGAGATGTTATAGTGACATCTCTCCTCAAAGCTCCGTGTCCAGGAAGAAACACAAGAAAAGCAATTCTTACGTCACAAGATTATACTCGCAAAGTGTCCTGAAGGAGCTGCAAGCGATCCTTACTGCATTTATGGTGTGGAGATTGTGTGGGGGGCATTGGACAACCACTGAGAGAAGCCACCAGGGAGCCAGGAAGCGCAGTATTTACCACTTGTCTAGAATAAGGGGACACTGGAAGCACCTGACACACGATTACCACAGCGGACATCGCTGGACGCGACCCAGAAAGTTAACCTGGGTCCAAAGGGCCCAGAAATTTGAACTTTGTTCTGAGAAGGATGAGTCATCACCAGAGATTTGTCTGATGGTGAAAGGGACAGTTTGGAAGAATACGTTGGTGAAGGGGTTGTTGGCAAGCAACCAAAACAAGCAGAGAGGAAGTCGGAGAGAAGATGGGAGGAAGAACAAGACGTGAGGAGGCCTCTGGACACAGGGGACACAGCGTGGCCCTTCCCAGCTACAGCCCAGTCCCAAGAGAGCAGTTTACAGTCAGCAAACATCGTATAAGCCCGTCCCATGTGCCAAGCACTGGCTCAGACGTTCGAATACTTAACTCTCCCAGGAAACATACAAGGTAGGTGCTATTTCTCCTTCACTTTCCAGGTGAGTTAGCAGAACTCCAGCAGGTTAAAGAACCTGTCCCAGCTCGCCCGTTGAGAGAGGGGGCGGAGCGAGAATCCAAAGCCAATCCGCTGCCGCTCCAGGGTCTCGCACGCTGGGCCCAGTCCACCTGCAGCCGTCGCGCCCAGCACGCGCTGGTCTGGCCGTCCTCCTGATCGCCTGGATCCGGCTCTATTGACTCTGCAGAAAGCTGCCCAAATTTATGGATTATGTGCACTGTTGCTTTTTACTCTCCAAAACACATTAAGCGATTTTGTCTGGAAATGTTTTACAAGCCTCAATTATGCCTCCTACATTCCCTCTCCGGTACAGCCCAGGTCCCCAGCCAGGACTGTAAAAGAGCCTTTTCTTCTCGCTAAAGCTCTTAACTCTCCGTCCTCCCGAGTCTGGGAACAGCCGCGCTCCCGTTCTGGCCCACGGGCCGGTTTTACACCGACCGTCGTGTCTCAGTCCTGCTCGCGCCCTTTTCACGAGGCTCTTTAATTAGGTTCAGAAACATGTTTATGATCCTGGGAACCAGCCCGTGTTATAGCAGGCAAGTTCAAAGCTCCGTCTCCCCCGGTAACTCGCAGAACACTTCAGGAAACTCTGAGGCCTGGCCCACGGCCAGCGCTGCACAAAATCAGACTCTGGGCAAACATTGCCTGCAGCATCCCCTGCTCTGGGCAGCTTTGGAATGAGGATGATGTTATCTGGGCTTGCACGGACCTGCTTTCCATACAGTCCTCTCTCTCTCCCTCCCTCCCTCCCTCTCTCTCTCTCTCTCCCCCCCCACCCCACCCCCACTGGCTGAATGACCCTGCACACTACTTACTCTCTGAGACTTGGCATTCTTACTTTCTCTGTATAGATTTAGGATGGCAAGGATGTTGGCTGTGAAGATGATGAGAACTAAAGGATACAAATTTAATTATTTTGCAAATTTGACAGGTTCAGGGCAAAGCACTGATGTCATCTCTGTACAATAAATGAAGATGTTCCAGCCTTGGTCTTTGAAGTCTGGAAAGTTGTGGGTAGCCAGCCTAGAATGAAAATTCTGCCTAAGGTTTGTATTCCAACTCCTTCTCCCAGACGTTACAATAAGGTCTGGGAAAGATAATTTGCATGAAATTTCTTATAAAGGAATAGCTCAGGATATCTTCAGGTCAATCTCCATCATATTGCTTGTGCAAGGGTTTCTGCTATTTATCATTGCATATTATGCCAAGTGACATTTGTAAAATATGCCCTTAAAGCAAGACTGCATAAATACTTAATTTCTTTTTTTTTTCTCCTCTCTTATGGTTTTTAAACTATTCTCCTGATCCTGCATTTTTGTTTGTTTTTTCTAGTTCTTGTTTGGTAAAGGTTACTAGCTGATTCTATCACTGAAAATACCACTAAAATGATTCAACCGGGCTGGCGTTGTGGAATAGCAGGTAAACCCTCCACCTGCAGTGCCAGCATCCCACATGGGCACTATTCGTGTCCCGGCTGCTCCACTTCCAATCCAGCCCCCTGCTAATGGCCTGGGAAAGCAGTGGAAGACGGCTCAAGTGCTTAGGGCCCTGCTACCCACAGGGGAGACCTGAAAGAAGCTTCTGGCTCTTGGCTTGGGCCTGACCCAGCCCCAGCCATTACGCCATCTGGCGGGGGGGGGGGGGGACCAGCAGATGTAAGTTCACTGTCTCTCCCTCTAACTCTCTAACTTTGACTTTCAAATATATAAGTAATTTAAAAAAAAAAAAAAGATTCAACATTTTTACTGATGTTGGAAATTCAGACCTAATGAAATTAATTTTGATTGGGAAAAACTTACATAGAATGGGAATCATCACAGCTTTGGACATTATAAGGCCTAGATGATAATGATCCTGGTTGCCTTCTCAGTGCCCGCCTTTTGTGATGGGGCCACACGCTTGGAAGAGACAGACTAGAAGGTGAGACAGAGCTGGGCACTTCTCCCGGGAGGTCACCCTTCCACTCTCCCTCCTGGGCGCTGCTGCCCCTCCCTTTGGGGGTCTTCAATCACAGGGCCTGGGCTCCGAGGCGGCAAGCCCCTGTGGTAGGAAGTGTGTTTCCGTGGCTGAGGGGCAGCCCACACACAGCAGAATCCAAGTCACAAAGTCACAGTGCAGATTCACAGACCTGGGCTCCTGAGAGATGAGTGTGGGTCTCTCCCATTTACCGTGACAGACTGAGAGTGAGACTTGCCAAGGAGCTGGAGACAGAACTAAGTCTAGAGCCCAGCTCAAAGCCAATCGAATGCCAAGAGGGACAGCACCTCCCCTCCCTTGCCTGAGGCTCGGGGAAAGCTGAGCAGAACCACCCAGAAACCCTGGCAGGCCCCGCAGGAGCAGCCCAAGGCCCTGTGCTGCACCGTTCATTATCACCACCCTGTCTCCCCTGTTCCTCAAGGGGGCGCTGTGGTTCGGGAACCTGCGAGCTGCCAGTGTCCATGCATCCTGGATTTGAGACCGCGGGCCCCTTCTCCCCTCCATCTGGCTTCTCTCTGGTCACACACAGACCACACTTCCCACGATCCTGGGCTCCTGGCTTCTCCACTCTCCGGTGGAACCTCAGCCTTCCCAGCCCACCTGGCCGGCCCCTGTCTTCCTCCCTGCTCCTGGCCCTGCAAAAGCTGCTGCAGAAGGAACACGGGACAGAAAGTCCCAGCACCAGGTCCTGTCTCAGCTCCACACTGCTGCCTACCTGGCTGGCCCTGGGAGAAACTCTCTGGGCCTCACACATCACAAAGATTTAGAAGACATTCAGCCCAGTTACCTCTAGAGGCCTGTGTCACTGTCACTCTATACCACCTGCTCGGTCTTCCCCATCCTGGCCCAGGGCCTCCCATGCCAGAGTCTTTGTCATCTTAACTACTCCTCCACCACTACCCAGTGTAGGAGGGCAAAGCCTGGGCCTGGGTTTAGGATGTTGTAGTGTAGCACAGTTAAAATACTGACTTTTAGAGGGGCTGGCGCCGTGGCTCACTTGGTTAATCCTCTGCCTGCAGCGCCAGCATCCCATATGTGCACCAGGTTCTAGTCCCAGTTGCTCCTCTTCCAGTCCAGCTCTCTGCTGTGGCCTGGGAGGGCAGTGGAGGATGGCCCAAGTGCTTGGGCCCTGCACCCACATGGGAGACCAGGAGGAAGCACCTGGCTCCTGGCTTTGGATCGGTGCCAGCTGTAGCAGCCATTTAGGGAGTGAACCAACGGAAAGAAGACCTTTCTCTCTAACTCTACCTGTCAAATTAAAAAAAAAAAAATACTGACTTTTAGAAGATTCAGAGATTTAAAGCGACAGAGTCCCACTGGAGGTTGAAAGTAATTTCTCTCGTTAGCAGTCCCATGACCCCACAAACGTTACTGCCATGTCACAAGTGAGCAACTCCACACCAGGCAGGGGTGTGGAGGCAACTCTTAGGTAACAGGTGATGTACACAAAGTACCTACACATGGCATGGCTTTTCCCTTGGCCACGAGTGGCAATGGGACTGGAAGCGAGTCATTCACCACTCTGGGATGCTGAGCAGGTGCACTGGAGAATTTCTGAGGCATCTTTCTCTGGGATCTTGAATCTGTTGTCTTCTGTCTTTTTGTAACAGCTTTACTGAGATCCACATAGTGTACAATTCGCCCACTTAGCGTGTGCAGTTGGGTGGGTTTTATATACTCACAGAATTGTGCAACCGTCACAGCAATCCCTTTTGGACCATTTCCATCGCCTCTGAGAGGAACCCCTGTTCCTATGGGGAGTCACCCCGTTCTCAAAGCCTCCACGCGCTAGCCACGTACTAACCCACATTCCATGTCTCTGGGTTTGCCTGTTCTGGGGCACTTCCTGTTGATGGACTCAGGCATCTTCCTTCACCCAGCGTAGGGTTCCCCCACACTGCGGCCTGGGTCTCTCGCCTCGCTCTGCGCTCCTCTGCGGGCCTCTCCCTGCCTGCTCTCAGCCACTGGCTCACTGCTGTGTGGAGGCACCAGGCGCGCCTAGGAACGTTCTGCTCCAGGAGCGGTTGCTTCAGCTGCCTGCGCAGCCTCTTCAGCCTGCTGCCGCCGGCCCCAGGAAATGCACTACTTAGTCCTTTGTCCCATTTGAAAGGATTTAAGACACACTGACCTGCTGTTGACAGTCCTAATTCCTTTCTTCCTCTCCAATGCTCCTGTCTCTTCCCTTTTTTTCTTCTAAAGGAATTCTGTTAGATGTTGTGTGTATGGGGTTTTTCCCTGCTTCAGCTGTCACTTTGGTATGAGGATTGATGTGAGGTAGCACTTACAGACGCCCTCTGTACTCCCAGGGCTGTAGAGCCAGGCCCTCATCGACTCCCCACGGGGTGGCGGGATTGGGCTCTCCATTTTATAAATGAGGACACTGCAGCTCAGGGAGATGCTGGCATTGACCCCCAGTCGCTCCGCATACATCGCAGCGTTAGGACTGAACCCTTGCCTCTGGTTTTCTCGGCCTCCCTGGGGTGCTTCTGACAGCTCCCTGCTATGCCTTGGACATGATGGAGCACACCACAGACTTCCGCTGCGGTCTTCAGAGCGCTTGTTCATGTGCAGCTGCTCGGGGAAGGCCAGCCCAGTGTTCCCTCTGACCTCTGCAAAGAGGACTTCTCCAAGGTGGCTTTATTGACATCAATCCGCTCAGAGGGGGTGTTTCACAGCCTGTTTCAAGCACTGCTAATTGTTAATGAAATAAGCCACGGGCTCACCCACTGATCTCTCTGCGCACCTCCCCGTGGCCCGAGGCCTTGGGTAAGTCCCCACTGCCTACAGAAGCGCTTCTGAGCTCCCGCCATGTGGCACTAAATGCCCTTCCCCGACACGGGGCTCCTGCATGCCCTCTGCAGCCCTCATTTCCACTGTGCAAAATCTTCCACAACAGCAAGATCAAGTGAAAATAGCCATCCCAGCTGAGACGAAGCAATCCCGGGATACAGCTCTTATAACCCTTATCCCTCACGTTCTAGGCCCACTTGTGTGTAACAGCAGAGAGGACGGAGACCCAGAACTGTTAAGTGGTTTGTCCAAGGTCACGCAGCCCAGAGAGTGAGCTGGGATCCTAGCCCAGGCAGCCCTGGCTTCGAAACCACAGTGCCTGCTGCCCCGCTGAGCTACCTTAATAAACACCGTCCTCTCTGAAGGGCTGCTGCCAGTCACCCAGCCTCAGAACTGGATCACCAGCAGCAAAGCGCACAGGCCCTGGAAGGGTCACATCTGCCACCCGGCAGCCAGGGCAAGCTGGCCCTACGGAGAGCAGGGACGGCTGGGGTCATCTGTTACACAATTCCCAGCTCGCCCGTGTTTTTCACTGCTTGTACACAACTCTCAACAGAGGATTCCTGCCTTGCATCCTGCAGGAACTTCCGGTGTCAGGGCCAGAGTCTCCAGCGAGACCGGGCAGGAAGGACAGGGCTCCAGGGAGCAGCCCCGCCCACCCTGTATTTAAAATCCGACTTTCCAGCGGGGCATGGAAATCCCCACTTCCTACTGCGTCCCTGGCAAAGTCCCCTACAGAGCATTCCAGGCCGGACTCCTGGCTGCACCTGGATAGCCCTTGGCCTTACTGCCCCCTGCCTCTGTACACTTGCCTCTGGGCCCAGCCTGGAAGACCCTTCCCCTTTTCCATGAAGAAAAGGACAGTCAAGAGTCCATTGAGCTGGGTTCCACAGAGCTCAGACTAGTTTCTACCTTCTCTGAGCCTCTCCGGAGAAAACCCACAGCCGGCCAACAGCTACATGAAAAGATGCTTGATGTCACCAGTCACCCAGGAAATGCAACCCAAAGCCACGAGACAGCTTGTCACACCTGTTCAGATGGCTACCACCAAAAGAGCAAATGATAACTGTTGGCGAGACCAGAGAGAAATTAGAACCCTCAGACACGGTTGGTGAGAATGTAAACTTGTGCAGCAACTATGGAAAACTGTAGGGATATTCCTCAAAAATTTTAAAATAGAATTCACATGACCTGGCAATCCCACTTTGGGTATATATCCAAAACAATTCAAAGACAGGTATGCACTCTCATGTCATTGCAAAATTATTCTTGATAGCTGAGATGAGGAAAAAAACCTTTGTCTATCAACAAGTGAATGCATAAAGGAATTGTGCTAATGCAACAATATGCACAAACCTGGAGAACATTATTCTAGGTTAAATAAGCCAGTCACACCCTGGGGACTGGCCCCGTGGCTCAGCAGGTTAAGCTGCTACCTGTGACGCTGGCATCCCGTATGAGCATGAGTTTGAGTCCACTCATCCAGCCCCTGCTAATGTGCCTGGGAAGGCAGTAGCAGAAGGCCCTGGTGCTTGGGCCCTTGTACTCACAAGGAAGACTCGGATGGAGTTCCAGGCTACTGGCTTCAGTCTGGCCCAGTCCTGGCCATTGAGGCCACTGGGGAGTGAATCGGCAGATGGAAGCTCTCTTTCTCTCTTTCACATTCTCTATTAACTCTTCCTTTCAAATAAATAAAAAACTTTCTTTAAAAAAAAATTCTGCATGATTCCACTTGTATGAGGAATCTAAAATAATCAAACTCATAGAGGCAGAGAGACTACAATTGTGGTTGCCAGGCTGAGGGTTGGGAAAAATAGCAAGCTATTGTTTAATGGGCATAGAGTTTTA